CGTTTTTTAAAGAAATCAATATGCCACTGCTTTTTCACCTATTATGCTAATAATGGCATTAACCCAGGGCACTTATTAAGGATTTTAAGTATTCCCCAGACCATTATCCTGGGTAATTGTTTGTCTTCTGAGAATCTGAAGCATCCATAAAGCTTGGTTTGTTTTCCAACTGCTCGTGCCTCATACCTCTGTAACTTGCCGAGAAACTGGGAAGGAGTGGCTGAATGACTCGTGGTTAAGCAAGCCTGGTGGGTTTGGACATAACGCCAAACCATAGTTGAAAGAAACCACAGGCTAAACAAACCATAGCTTACTTACTCAAGGGCTGATTCTGCATAATGTATTTGCAGAAATTCTGAGGTATCAGAATTTGAAACAAAGTGACTAATAATCCTAGACTAGGCTTAGATTGGAGACACAGATAACACACCCTTCAGATCCCTAGCTGTGCCAATATGTTGTGCACTTATGGCCTTGATTTATTCTTACCTACTCTTGCGTTTGCTAGCGTGTACCTTCCTTCCTTTCTGTTAGTATCTTTTCTGTCAATGGGAAAATCTGATTACAAAATACTGGGTATCTGATATCCCTTACGTGTTCATTTTCATTCTTTGATTTGAGGCATGTTGTGCAACGACCCCTCTCCCTTCCGTCCTTTCAAAAACCACTTCAGATCGCAATATGTAATCCTTTGCATTTCTCCCCCGCCCCCAGTTAATTTATGATACTTACTTCATTTCTCCTAGTCTCTTTCTTTTAATAAATTCCTTCCCTGACACCTCCTCTTCTTTCCTCCTCCTTGATTATTATATCCATCTGAGATCGTCCTGGTACCTTCCTCAAACTTCCACTTGGCAGGCACTATTACAGTGGTACATCGGGTTACATACGCTTCAGGTTACATATGCTTCAAGTTACAGACTCCGCTAACCCAGAAATAGTGCTTCAGGTTAAGAACTTTGCTTCAGGATGAGAACAGAAATCGCGCGGCTGCAGCAGGAGGCCCCATTAGCTAAAGTGGTGCTTCAGGTTAAGAACAGTTTCAGGTTAAGTACGGACCTCCAGAACGAATTAAGTACTTAACCCAAGGTTAAGTTAAGGATAAACTCTCTTTCCAGGATCCCAAAGAATGTCAGCTTAAGGTAATGATTGTGGCTGCACCTCAAACCGCTGCTGCTCCCATTCAGAAGGAAGTGGGAAGAGTTGTTATGTCAGGGGTCGAAAACCTAAGGCCTGTGGGCCACAAGTGGCCCAGGGGAGTCGTTTTACCAGCCCACGAGCCCTCCACGAACTGAGCCACCCGCTTGGCGCATCGCTGTGCAAAACCAATGCAGCACAGCGCAGGGACTCGCTTTCGCAGCGCCCAAAATCGCGTCTGTGCAGACACAGATGCTGGAAATCGCAGGCACTCTCACTCATGTGCGCCCGCGATCTGGCCCACAGAGGGGGTGAACCGGCCCAGGCAAAGTAAGCCTTGCTGACCCCTGTGTTATGTAGTCCTTCATACAGCTTTTAGACCAGGGGTCGGCAAGGTTTACCTCGCCTGTGCTGGTTCACTCCAGCAGAGATCCCTCCGTGGGCCGGATCGCGCATGTTTTGGCATCTGAGAATCCGCAGATGTTATTTCCGGCACCGTGGAAGCGACTCCCTGCACCGTTCTGTGCCAGTTTAGCGCAGCACGCAGATACTCGCTGAGTGGGTGGCTCGGTTTGGGGGCAGTTTGGGGGCCAGTTAAACGACTCCCGTGGGCCACTTGTGGCCCATGGGCCTTAGGTTGCCTACCCCTGTTTTAGACAGAGCCATGTGTTATGAATGCTCCTCCTTTCAACCCCACTCTGAATGCCATACATATGTCAGGATGCAATTGTGCTTAGAAATTCATGATATATTTGAAAGACAATTGTAATCAATTGACATCGCTTGTAGGGTTACAAGAAGTTTTGTAAGGAGAACTATATGAATTATTGCGAAAGAGGACTAAGAAGGAGTTTGTTTAGGATTTGGATTTCATAGCAATAACTATAATAATAAAATTCAAAATTAGAAAGGAAGTTAGAAAACCATCAGTTGAGGTTGATGGAAGTCCTAGGCTGTGATAACCAAAGTTTGTTACTGTTGTTTAAAATGGGATGTTATGTTTGTAAAAAGCAATAAAAATTATATTAAAACAAAACAAAACAAAATGCAATTGTGCTTGCATGCATTATGAATGCCAGTAGAAAAGTGAGCCATTTATTTGTTCTGGTAATTATTATTATTATTATTATTATTATTATTATTATTATTTCTACCCCGCCCATCTGGCTGGGTTTCCTGAACCACTCTGTGCGGCTTTCAACAGAACATTAAAAACAGAATAAAAACTTCAAACATAAAAAACTTCCTTAAACAGTGCTGCCTTCAGATGTCTTCTAAAAGTCAGATACTTGTTTATCTGTTTGACATCTGATGGGAGGGTGTTCAACAGGGTGGGCGCCACCACCGAGAAGGCCCTCTCCCTGGTTCCCTGTAAATTCGCTTCTTGCAGGGAGGGAACCGCCAGAAGACCCTCAGAGCTGGACCTCAGCGTCCGGGCTGAACGATGAGTTGGAGACAAATACACCAGTCCTCCTAAGATGATGAATTGTGTAAGATGGTTGGGAACCTGTTGCGGGAATGTAATTGATATTGCCTGTGTCAATCACTTATGACAAGAGAATCACCCAACCTCCCCCTTCACCATGACCACAAAATGTTAAGAGCTGATTCTTTTAATTTTTCAAAAATCTAAAATAAAGAATTTGAGCATGAAGTCCGCTGCTTTTCTTTGTCAACTTTTAAAAACTTGAAAGACCTGACCTGAATGCAAAACTGCCTCTTTCTTTTCAAGGACCCTTTTAATTATGTTTTTGCTCTGTCCCTTTCCTACTGCAAATATTGTGGGTTGGGGAGTTATGTGAAAATGTTTTTTTCATTAGAAAAGCCTTCTGAAGCAAGTCCTGTTTAACCGTTGTTGTAGCACTGCTGCATTTTAATGCCTACCTGGCAGATAGCACCACGAGGTGTTTTTAGGGCATTCAGGAATCTTAGGCAAGTCAACCGAAAAAATCACATTTCCCTAAAAACTCAACAACTTCCTGGTTTTTTACTTTTTGAAGTAAATGCCACGTAACTGTAAGTTCTGAACAGTGGCATAGCAAGCAAGAGACTGTCGTTCTTAAATTGACTATACATTTTAGCCAGTACAGGGATGCACAGGTAAGATACATTTCATATTTATCAGGAAACAAAATCCTCTTCTTATTAGCAATTAAGATTGGAAAATCGTCACTGTTATCTTAGATCTAAACGTAAGAGAGAGATCAAGTGTTATGGAAACGTGCCTGAACCCAGACCGTTTTTAGAAGAGAACATGCAATCGAAAGAGTTGACTAAAGAGCGAAATAATGGACCGTTGCTGCTATAATTACTTTCTAAGTGCTTCCATTAAAGCAGGGAGAATAACATCTGAAATTCTATTATTAGGTCTCTGCAAAGCTTCAGTTTTGGTAGTCGGTGATAAATGCTCAGAAATGGAATTACCGAAGGAGGACTAGAACATAATGATGGGGGGGAATCACAGTGTTTCTAAATAATTTGCCTTAATTTGTCATTATTTTGCGCCCCTACTTATCTCATGAATAATTTTAAAAGTCATTTTGAACAATTAACTCACCCCCAGGTATTAAAATGAGCTCATATTTCCAGTTCAGAGGGGAACTTTCCCTTTGAACTTGGAGAGTTCCAACACTGTTTCCACCGTTGATTTGCATCTTATATAATCTTAGCTTTACTGCATTGGTGCTACAAGATAATTCCACTTTGCAGAAGGCTTTTCCTTCTGTTTGACGAAGGGGTGAAGAAGCTCCCTGAGTCAGATGTTTTCTTTGAAACATATGCTCAGCAATCACAGTGCGACTGTAATGTGCATTTCTGAAGCATTCCTCTTTTATTTAAGTTTTCAGTTTTACAGTTACATCGTTTTCCATTCTTATACAGCAGTTCCTTTTGACTTCCCACCCAGTCTGCATGAAAAACAAAACGAAGTATATTTAGAGTATATCACATAAAAAGCCACAACCTAAACTAAATCATGAAAAGCCTTATGTGGCTCAAGAGCTCAATAGCTCTCCCCATAGGAACCAACCTAGACTCTGTGCTTGTCATCCAAGGCCCTTCACTATGTCCCCCCCCCCCCGAGAGGTTTGGAGGGTTAAACCATGAGAACGGGGCCTTTTCTGTGGTGGCTCCCAGTCTGTGTAATGCTTTCCCCAGAGAGGCTTGCCTGGCACCATCATTACATATCTTTAGGCTCCAGGCGAAGACATTCCTCTTTATCCAGGCCTTTGGCCATTAAATATCTATGGCCTGTTAAATGGGGAGGGTGGGCTGTTCTTACGATTATTTTATTATTATGCTGTGTATTATCATTTTTTATTATTATTATGCTGTGTAAATTATGTTCTTAATTTTGTACACTGCCCTGGGATTTTTGGATAAAAGGTGGTATAAAATTTAAAATAAATTAATAAAAAAACTTCAATCGTATCCCAATAAACATTAAATAGGCTTTCACCGGAACATGTTCTAGGCATCTTGCAGACTATTGGTGCTAAATAAATATTAAATCATAGCATAAAATTGTAGTTTACAAAAGAAGATTCTCAGAAGGTGAAACTTAAAACGTAACCTTAGAAGAGAAAACGTAATTTCCAGTGACACCCCAAAACTTAATGCGTTTTGTGCTCCAACCAACCTATCCAGGATGCTTACATTAACTACAAAAGCAATTTTCACAAATACGTCTCATTTTGACAAGCTGTGCTTCCCTGCTCTGCAGAAAGATTATTGCTGTAAATTTTATTGAGAATGTGTGAAAGCATGTTGATTACTTTGAATGTCTGCTGCTTCCTTATCTCTGTGTCTTTTACTATGATGTTGTAGAGCTGGGATCATATGGAAAGCTAAAATATTATGACACAATGACTGAAGAAGGTAAGAAATATTTTGGAATTTTTGTCTCAGCCTTTTTTTATACTCCTTTTTAAACAAAAAACAAAAAAACTACTGTGATTACTTTTCTTCTTCTTCTTCTTGGGTTTTCTTTTTTCAGTTCCTCTTTGCATGATTTCACTGACATAGCGTGATGTGCTGCCATACTTCTTAACGTTTTTATCAACTCGCATTTGCTGTTTCTTTTTTTATTGCCATACAGCAAATCAGTTTTGCTTTCACATAGCACACACTTCCACTGATCGGCACTTTTAAAACTTTGTTCTTCATGCAAACCTGATTATGTCCACAGCAAGCCCTACTGAGTTCAGTGGGACACAGTCCCATCTAAGTGTGTAAAAAGACCGCTGTCTAAATGTGCCTAGATTTATTAACGCAAGACACAATGAGACTTATTAATCACACTTCTCATTTCGGATATAGCAAGGCTAGGAGGTGACCTTTTGATTTTGCAAACACCTACGTGCAAATCGTTCAGAGCTTCATAAAAATATTTGGCTAATTGATGTGAGTGTTTTCATCGAGGTTAGGTGATGTTGTGCAATCCACATTAACAACTGAGATATAGTTTACACCTGTGCAGCCATTTTAAAAATGTAAGCTATGCCAGTTAGCAGTTTGCTCCATCTTGTCAGCACACGCAGTCCTTATCCTTATCACACTGAGAACCAGTGAGGTGTAGTGGTTAAGAGCGGTAGACTCGTAATCTGGTGAACCGGGTTCGATTCCCTGCTCCTCCACATGCAGCTGCTGGGTGACCTTGGGCCAGTCACACTTCTCTGAAGTCTCTCAGCCCCACTCACCTCACAGAGTGTTTGTTGTGGGGGAGGAAGGGAAAGGAGAATGTTAGCCGCTTTGAGACTCCTTTGGGTAGTGATAAAGCGGGATATCAAATCCAAACTCTTCTTCTTCTTCTTATCCAAAGTTTTTGATGGACAAATGAGAGATAGGTGATGCTACTATCGTCTCCTCCCCATGGCTGAACCAAAGGTGGAACTGCACTGAGAGTTCTTGCAATCCTAATGCAGGGAGGGGGCAATTGCAAGGAAGAATCCATGGAAGGAAGTGAGGCACTTTCCTCTTCCCTCTCTCACTAATTTGGTCTGAATGGATCTCGAACGGGAAGTAAGATTGGCATTTTGCCACAAACTATGTCCATTGTTGGACACGGGTGGTGCTGTGGGTGAATCGGATGACAGAGGCAAAGACAAATTCTCCTTGTAGCTCGTGACTCCTGAGCTCTTAGGGCTCCTGTAGCACTGGAAAGTGGGACGTGGGTGGTACTGTGGGTTAAACCACAGAGCCTAGGACTTGCCGATCAGAAGGTCTGCGGTGCAAATCCCCACGACGGGGTGAGCTCTCGTTGCTCGGTCCCAGCTCCTGCCTAACCAGCAGTTCGAAAGCACGTCAAAGTGCGAGTAGATAAATAGGTACCGCTCCAGAGGGAAGGTAAACGGCGTTTTCGTCTGCTGCTCTGGTTCGCCAGAAGCAGCTTAGTCATGCTGGCCACATGACCCGGAAGCTGCACGCCGGCTCCCTCGGCCAATAAAGCGAGATGAGCGCCACAACCCCAGAGTCAGCCACGACTGGACCTAATGGTCAGGGGTCCCTTTACCTTTACCTTTAGCACTGGAAAAGTCTGTTGTGTGGATGGGGCTGGCTTTTCAAATGCTTCTGGACTTCAGCTCTCAACAGACCCAGTCAACATGGCCAGTGGTCAGGGATGGTGGGATTTTAGATTAACACTGCCAGGTTCCCCTCCCTTGCTCTCTTGAGTGTCATGCTAAGCGGCTGAAATGAGCACTTTCCCCATTATGGCCCTGGCAGTCAGTGCAACCACTGGCTTTGTTGGGGGGGTGGGGGTAGGCACAACTGCCTGTCCGTGAGTCCCTCTGGCTGCAAGAGGAACAGGTATGATCTTGCAAGAGGACCCGGCCAATAGGACCAGATTGTAAATAACCTTTTCTGTTTGCGTGCCTCTTCTGATGACTCCATAATCAATCTGTATCCATTTTTCTACCCATAAGTAGATTTGTACTCTTAACCATGTGAGGTTTTGTACCTATTATTTTAGATTTGCGTTTTCCACTGCATTAGAATGAACTAACTAATGAACAGATGACATCTCATTAATCGGTTCTTCATTTCTTTTTGTAAGCGCTCTTTATATAGTCTGGCTTTTGTTTCTTGAAGCACCCATTGATCTCGCTATTACATTACCGTATGTTGTATTAAATGCTCCTGTTTTCAAGCTGTGCCATGTTTGCCAAGTGCATTCTTCTGTGTCAAACCAGTACCAACTTTAAAATACATCCATCGGACACTGCAAACATCAAATAATAAAAATGCTTCGGGATGGATGAATCTTGCCGCTGGAGAGACGAATTTTATTGGTGTCCATCAATTGCCATGTTTATCTTTTATTTGATTACATGATTATATCCAAGCTTTATGCCTTCATAGATAACCTTCTATGTTCCTAGTCCCAGTTTTCGTTGCTTCTCTGCATCCAGCCATCTTCTGCTCTCCAAAAGCCTTTCAGAAAACCACAAAGGTTACATTTTTAGAAACTAATCTGATCTAAGAAAGGTCTTTTGAGGGGGGCAAAAACCATTGTTGTCTGCATCTCAGAAACATAATGAAAAGGGAAATAGAAAAGTATTTCTCTTCCACCACTTCCCCACAAATATTTGGTATTTCCCGCTGCCTACTGCCTACCATTATATTTTAGCTATATCCTTAAATCACTCCACTACTAATTGAAAAGCAATTGTTAAGATGAATACCGGAAGTCTGTGCTGCGGGCGGATCCCAGCTATAGCTGAAGACACAATCATGTGCTCTTCCCACCCCCCAGGCAAAGGAGTTGAATGCGGTTGTAAAAACAGATTGCTGCTCAGGGTACATACATTCTTCTTTTTCTTTTTTTTACTTTCACCTCTTCTACATAAGCTTTTCATGGTTTAGCAAATATGCCAAGCTTTTTTGTCCAAAGACAACAACAGAGCAAAACAAATACATATATCCATCATGGGAAGTATCCTGGTTTGTGCAAAAGACAGGTTCTTATTTTCAGATAAAATGGGAAACTGGTTTGCTGCAAACTCTGGGTTGTTTTACTACATTCAATTTGAATCAGACACTGGTCCGTGGTGTTCGCTCAGCCAGTTCCTGCTCATTATCAAAATTCATTATCAATACAGAGAAAATTTATTGTAGGATAATTACAAATGTCATGGAGTTAGGTCTCTGAGTTGCATAAAGGTCTTATTGGGTTAAAGTATTTTATTGATTAATTGATAAGTAAATAGCGTATGATTTGTTGGCTGCATTTTATTGTTTGTGTCATATAATAATAATAATAATAATAATAATAATAATAATAATAATAAATTTTATTTATATCCCGCCCTCCCCAGCCAAAGCCAGGTGTCTTAAAACTGTTGTACGCTACCTTGAGATTCTCAGAGGAAGGAAAAAGAAACATTTTAATTATCCCCCCCCCCCCGTTGCATGAGTGAATCTCCAATTCCTCTCCGTCCCCCTTGTGGTATAACCCCCCTATCTGTTCCAGAGGGTTGGGGGATCCTCTGGAAAAGATTTTGGGGTCGGCTGGTGGGCTATAGGGGGAGGAGAGGAGCAGGAAGTCCCATTGCTCATGCAGAAGTCAGTTGTGCATTCAGACAGATATCATTGGTATTCACCCCTATATTTACTAGGTAGGCTCTAGCTTGAGAATGATTTTGCCACAATTAATGCATTAGTCTCTGGGCTGCCACAGGCCTCTTAGGCTGCAATCCATTTAATTTAGTGAGATCTAGTGTAAACTTGCATAGGAGTGAGCTGTTAGTTGTCTCTTCTGGAATTTGTCTCCTAGGAATGGGAAAAAAAAGGCGAAGCATAGCAGTCATCCTATTAATAAAAGTTGGTGTTAATTCTGACAGGTTTCTTCATTCAGCGTTAATTGAAACCAAATCCATGTGCCCCCTTGGTCTAAGGTGCTGTCTCTCAGCCTTGCAGGAGCTTCTGATGATACAAATGCACACGCAATACTAAGCCACCGTTTTGCAGCTATTCAAGTTGGAAGATATAAGTTCAGCTTGCTGTTTCACGGTGCAAGAAGCTGAGGCAGTAACAGGAATCTGCCACCTCCGATAGCTGTGCTTTAACAAATGTGGTTTTTTCTTTCTTTCAGGAAAGTTCAAAGAAAGGGCATCTATTCTTCATAAGATGGCCAAAAAGTGTCAGGTGGAGGATGGTGAAAAACGGAATGGAAGTGCTAATCATGCCGGTAGGCAAAACATAATAATATTTAATTATTTCGTTTGCAGATATGTGAATAGATATCAAAGACCAGCTCACATAACATAACACAATAATAACAGCATTCATAAAGATAAAATATACAATCGGAGCAGATTGCAGCATTCGCTCATGAGTTAAAATTGAGATATATACATACACCCGTACAACTGAGATTTGGGCTAGCATAAAAAAAATTGACCCTGAGGCGCCCCAAAGGGGAACTTCAGCATTTCCCTAGTAAGCTATTTTATTCTAGAGGATGATCTGTGCCTACAAATCTGGGCGCAGAATCTGGCTACCAGCCAGGTCGTCTTACGATCTTTGCCTAAGAGGAGAGAATTAAATATGTGAATAGAAATGCTATAGAGTACTTTACTCAAGAAAATACCGCATTTTTTAAAAAATGAGGTAATACCTATGTATTTATAGTATAATTGCAAAATAGCATGTGCTTTTTTTGTTGCAAAGAAACCTGCAGCTGTTCTGCACAAGATGGATGGGTCTGGCATTCTCATCTGTCTTCCAGTGCAGACATGCTTCCCTTGGCTTCTTGGTATATGCGGTGCAACTGTGTTCACCAAGTTGAAAGCAGCAGTGAAAAACAAGCTTTCCTTCTGCAACATCTTTTTTCCATGCTTGATTTTATTTAAGCTTAGATCAGCAGTGGGAACAGCAGCCCACCGGCCTAATTAGGCCCAGCAAGCCATTTCCCAAACCAGACACACCTGCCCACATGATGTGTGATGCAGTGACAGTGAACCCCTTTGAAGGTATCACCTGACGTCATACTAGAATCAGCTGATTGACAGCTGGGCAGTCCCACTCAACCAGTTCCCCTCCCCTCCCCTGGTTTAGATAATCCTCTGTGATCACACAGGCTAATGATGGTCAACAAGTTGGCTCATTTGCAACCCACCAGCTAATACACGCGTATGTCCCCCAATTAAGGGATAGACCCGCATCCCTCATCCACATTCTTCTAGAGACTGGCTAGGAGTCAGAGAATATACTGCAGAATAAGCAGTGCCTTTTATGCCTTCCTCCTTCACCTGTTCACGAGTCTTTAAATTGTGGTGTGTGTGAATTGCCCAGGTTTATCCTTGCACCAGTCAGGTCTAGCAGAATGGGAACTAGGAGAATCCCAAAGCACTGCAAATTCTTCCTCTCTTGCGACATAAACGCTTATGTATGGGCAAAGAGGAGCAAATAACAGAGCTTCTCTCTGCCAGTTTCATCTCCTGAGCAGTTCTACCTGAGGTCCTGGGAGTTGGCTGTGTCTGTAAGAGGCAGATGCACGATAAGAGACTAATTCGCTCTGGGTGAGCAGCTGTGTAAACAAGGAGGTGATTAATTAATAGACTTGATATTGGAGCAAAGAAGGTAAAGATTACAAAGATATTATATTAAACTCTGTTAGCATTCAGTTTGACTCTCCTTTAAATGCCACTGGCTTCAGTAGGTTTAAGCTAGACTATTTTTGTCTCAAACTAACTCTTATATCAGCTAATTAAATACCAGTGCTTAACTGTTCAATGAGTTTACAGATTAATGGTTGAAAAGTAACTGATATGTTCTCAGTTTTGCTTACGTTTTGTTTTTTAATTTCTGGAATATGCTTCAGGTGCCCCAAACGCTGCAAAAGTCGAAGTTGAAGTGACACCACCAAATGATGGAGCTATGCAAAACGGAACGGCTGTTGGAGCAGTAGAGGTTGCTATCTTATTCCTTCCCCTTCTCCCCCCTGTCTCCTCCATCCCTATTTATGCATGATTTCGTGATGCACAGGAAGTACCATAAAAGGGCAAAGAGATTCATAAAATTATGAAACACTGGAGAGAGAGAGAGAGAGAGACTCTTCTTCTTCTTCTCTTCTTCTTCTTCCTCCTCTTCTCCCTCCTCACAAGAATTCAGTCCTCCACAGGTATAGCAAGTTATCATACGGTGTTTGTGAATTGCATGGACACAAGCTGTAGTGTTGGCCACTTGGTTTGATCACTTGGCCATTAGCTTTATGCCCTCCTCACACACCCCTTAGAAACATCCAGCTGGTCACTGTTGCAAACAGAATTATGGGTGTAGGCCACGGATGGGGAAGTTGTGGCCTTCCAGATGTTGCCGGACTTTGGTGCCTGTCCTCGCTGACAAAGGACTATGCTGGCTCATCTTCCTCATCCCTGGACAAAGTGGGCCTTTGGTCCATTTCAGTAGCACCCTTATGTTTTCACCGTACGAAGTCTGTGGGCCCAGGGTGGGGGACGCTTACCACTTATCAAGATATAACCTATATGCGAGAACAATCACCTTGGAGATTTATGTGGTTTCACATAAGCTGATGCAGCAGCCGTGTCGTGTGATACGTGGCAAACTGGCTCTCCAAAACTTCTGAGTGAACATTTTTCTCAAGGTTGGGCCAAAGTCAGCGATGTTTCCTTCCAGGGTGCATTTCTCATGCTTGCCTAGGGAGCTGCGTTCAGATCACCTGGTTCCATTAATAGAGATTCTTTCCTTGCGCTGAGGAAAACATTTCCTCCCAAGACTGCAGCCTGTCAGCTGTGATTAACTGGATTCATAAAAGGGACACGCTTGTGAGTGCTGCAACCTAACCCGCATTCTCTCGTTTTATTTTATTTCTCATTATTTATAAGATTTTATTACTACATTACAATTAAAAAGATTAATCTAAAAGAAAAAGAAGGATACAAAGCCCTCTTTCACAGGTAAATCTTAACTTAGACTAACACAAGTTTTGACCCAGAATGAGTTTTTGACAAATGGATTCCCACTTTCAAGACTTCATAATTAGAGTCATAGCAAATATACCTGTGGCTCCACTTTTGATGTTCCTGAATAGTCTTGAAATAATTTCAGCTTTTAAACAAGGCTGTCTTCAAAGCAGACAGACAAAAAAAGACAAAGCGCAGTGATTTAATTTTCCATATGAATATTGTTTTGTTATCTTCTTGTTTACATTAGGTATCACCCAGGACTTTAATTTCAGTTAAGCACTTTGATTTCACTGGGAGATATTTGAGCATCTGCTCTACTCTCCCATTGAATCACCAGGATTTAAGACTGCTTAGTTTGGCCTGGATCTTGCCCTTTGTCTGTCTAACAAGGAAGTGTTTTCTTTAAGCACAGTGAGAAAACACAAAAGGGTCTAGAACTGAATGAATTAATTTGGAAGTCTTTATCCTTCCTGTCACTCAGGCCTCAGAAATTATTCAGGAAGAACAGAGGCACAAGGAAGCACAACTGCATCTCATAGAATATTCTATGTACAGTCGTCGTGTGTCTAGCATTTTCTAAGCCCACTGGAAAATCCTGCAGAGTCAGGAAGTCTTGTTTTCAAAAGCAAAGTGCTATGTCTGCCTTATTTTGAATAAACTGTAAAGAGAAGGGACCTGACTTTTTGCAAGTCCATACAACTGGATCAAACCATGTTCTCTGCCAGTTCTGCGAAAGAAGAAATCAACAAAAATCTGGCATCAGAAATGGCAACATTTAGAAACCAGTGGGTGAGCCTTTTAATTTCCCAGAACGCTCCACTTTTTATATGAATGTTGGGAGTTCCCTGCCAGAGGAATTTCAGAGGGAGAACAGCGTGTCAGATAGCTGGATTGAGACTAATCAAGAAGTTTGATTCCATTCATTTAAGCTGCACTAGATACCATGTTTTCCTGCCCCAGTATAGCTGTTAATTGACATAGTCAAACTCTGATGCTGCTGCTATCAGCAATTGCTGTTCCGTATTTTAAGCTTTACACAGAGTTGTGGACATTGTCATGTATCCCCCAGCTGAGATTCTAGGCCACGGGTGTCAAACACATGTGGCCCGTGTAGCCACCACCGGCCGCCAGCCTTCACCTTTTATTCTCGCTTTTTCTTTTCTTTTTTGACACAAGAAAGCCGCCTCTTCAGCGCATGCGCGGCAGCCTACAAGCCAGAGAACACCTGCCCTCTAGCGGCGCCGGCCGTTCTACACAGGAAACCTCCACTTTACTGTAGGACCTACAGATACAACCGGCCCTTTGAGGCTGACCAAACTGCTGATATGGCCCCCGATGAATTTGAGTTTGACACCCCTGTTCTAGGCCATGAAAATTTATACTGCACTGACAGCCCAAACCTGTACATGTTTACTTAGAAGTAAGCACCACTGAGTTCTTTGGGACTTACGTACAGGTGAGGGAACACAGGATTAAAGCCTTAATCTGCTGGTCTTTCAGTAACCTTGCCAAGATGACACAGCTGCCCAATGGCAGGTGCTGAACTACTTGTTACACTACTTAACTCAGGCCAAGAAAATCTTGCAAGCCTGTTCCTCATAGCTTCTACTAATCTGAGAGTAGTGTACTTTGCAACCATTCATATTTCATAGAGCAGCAATGCACTCTATTTCATTTCCGATAAACAAAAGCTACCACTCGCTTTCCAAAGAAAAGGCCATGTATTACTGTATATTTTCTTGCTGCTAGCATTAGAATGTTATGTTCTATAGCTTGGCACTGAGTATGTTTGATTTTTAAAAAGGCCAAAAGTACTACAGGAGCCGCTCGCTGAAAAAATTAGGCTGCCCTATGGAAGATCATCCAGAAATTTTATATACCTTTTAAAAGCACCATTCCCCTGTTAGATAAGCAGTTAAGCAAGTTCAGCTGTAATTGTTCTAACCTGTGACTTCCCTAAAAATAACATTCACTTTCACATTAACATCTCCTCCCACTCAGACGTGTTCCTTTTTTACCAGTTTCTATGGAAACCAAATCAGAAATATATATATATATATGCGCGCATGCCTGCCATGGCAAAGACAACTTCTAGTGAAAAGGGGCAAACTTAAGTCCATATTGTTTTCTCTGTGATTAGTAAACAGCTTTATTGAATGACTATGGCAAAGTGGGTTTTGCTTGATACATCAGAGAGATAACACAGGATTTACTCATTTCAGGAAAAGTTCCTCTCTGGAGTGTTTTGTCTCCTTGCAATGCATACTGGGCCACTTTTGTCAAAATAGCTTGACTTTTAACTATGAATAGTTGGCCATTTCTCCCTATCCCATTATTCCTTGGGATCACTGAATGTTTCTAACAAGATAAACAGCTTTTGGGGGAGTGAAGAGTGAGAACATGCATTTAGATGGTGTGGTTCTGTAGAATTATATCTCTTCAACTCATGGGTTGCAGTTCTGCTCCTAAGGTGTATCACATCTGTGTCATCAGCACTGCAACCATTGGTCATTTAAAGTTTTTTAAGGAGAATGAACAGACAGAAGCAGAGCAAAGGTGAATCACATTACTCCAAAACATGGTTAATACCAACAAAGTAGGCAAGGAGTGAATTATCACAGGAAAGGCTGGGAGCAGTAGACCATCTCAACTTTACAAACCAGTATAATTACAGAGACTTTGGTAAAGGTAAAGGTAAAGGGACCCCTGACCATTAGGTCCAGTCGTGACCGACTCTGGGGTTGTGGCTCTCATCTCGCTTTATTGGCCGAGGGAGCCGGCGTACAGCTTCCGGTTCATGTGGCCAGCATAACTAAGCCGCTTCTGACGAACCAGAGCAGTGCACGGAAACGCCATTTACCTTCCCGCTGGAGCGGTACCTATTTATCTACTTGCACTTTGATGTGCTTTTGAACTGCTAGGTTGGCAGGAGCAGGGACCGAGCAACGGGAGCTCACCCCGTCGCGGGGATTCGAACCTTCTGATCAGCAAGTCCTAGGCTCTGCGGTTTAACCCACAGCGCCACCCGCGTCCCTTACTTTGGTACTGGACTTTAATTTCCCTTTGCTGGGTTGATTTACACAAGCAATTTTTGACTGCTTTTGGGTGGCCCCTGCTCCTCTAATAGTGGTGTATCAGAGAGTGAGACTTGTCATCATCATCACTTTTAATTTGTATACCGCCTTTCTATCTTACAATACTCAAGGCGGTTTACAAGCTGAAGAAACAAAGAATATACACCTTATAACAATTTAATGCAATACAAGAATGTAATAATGAAACAGCTTTAAAATAAGCAATCGACATCAAATAAAGTAACATTCAACAATCATTAGAATAGTATAGAATTATAATATCAGCATATAAAAATTAAACAGAAACCCGATTGCAATAAATAATTTCAAATAAATAAACAATTGCAATAAATAATTTCGAAACTACAATCAATAAAACAACGGCAAGCCACAGTGCATAAAATAATACAATACAAATTGAGAAGCAAAGACTGGAGGGTGGGGCAAGGCAGGTGGAAGGCAAATTGCATCAGCTGAAAATCCCTCTTCTGCAGAACTATTAATGGTTCAGGAGCCCTGTCCTCATTTTCCACTGGCCAGCCAGACTGTGAGCTCAGATCACTGGCAAGCAACCAGTTCTGAGAGTAACCTCACGCAGATCACAGTCTCCGCGCAGGTGATTGACGCCTGTGGCAGCTAAGCCAGTTTCCCCCATAGTTCATTCAGCATTGGCAAGGTGAAGGAATAGCTTACGCAACATGCAGAGTGCAAACACTCCACTTCAGGGGGAAATTGGAATGGTGCATTACGGCAAAAATTCACTTACAAAAATATTGGAGCCTATGAGGTTAACATGATGAAACAGCAACTAGACCTGCCTGAAAACAATTTGGAATAGGCTCCTTCGGGAGATTGTAGACTCTCCTTCCTTGGAGGTCTTCAAGCAGAGGTTGGATGGCCATCTGTCAGGGCTGCTTTAGCTGAGATTCTTGCATTGCGGTGCGTCAGACTAGATGATTCTCGGGGTCCCTTCCAATTGCACAGTTTGGTTATTTTATGCATAGTAAGGTAAACGGCGTTTCCGTGCGCTGCTCTGGTTCGCCAGAAGCGGCTTTGTCATGCTGGCCACATGACCTGGAAGCTGTCTGCAGACAAACGCCAGCTCCCTTGGCCAATAAAGCGAGATGAGCTCCGCAACCCCAGAGTCGGTCACGACTGGACCTAATGGTCAGGGGTCCCTTTAACTTTACCTTTTTAACTGAGTCACGCTGCTTCAAAATTGCAGCAAAGCTACTCGGTTCAGCAGGGCTGTTGCAAACTGCTGCTGCTAATGCAGGAAGACGGCAACATCACGGTCAACAACAACAACAACAATTTAATATTTATACTCCGCCCATGTGGCTGGGTTTCCCCAGCCACTCTGGGCGGCTTCCAACAAAACACTAAAATATAATAACCTATTAAACATTAAAAGCTTCCCTAAACAGGGCTGCCTTCAGATGTCTTCTGAAAGTCTGGTAGTTGTTTTTCTCTTTGACATCTGGTGGGAGGGCATTCCACGGGGTGGGTGCCACTACTGAGAAGGCCCTCTGTCTGGTTCCCTGTAACTTGACTTCTCACAGTGAGGGAACCACCAGAAGGCCCTCGGCGCTGGACCTCAGTGTCCGGGCTGAACAATGGGGATGGAGATGCTCCTTCAGGTATACTGGACTGAGGCCATTTAGGGCTTTAAAGGTCAGCACCAACACTTTGAATTGTGCTTGGAAACGTACTGGGAGCCAGTTTAAAGCAAGACTATTATGGACCAAAACACATGTTAAAGTATATCCTAATTGGGATTTAGCATTTCTGTAGCCTGTACAGGAATCCCATTTTCCCCATCATTAAAACCATTGCAGAGTTGTTTAGATTAAGAAATATTAAGTAGGTGCAAGGTTTTTACGGCTGAATTGTAACTGATTCTCCTATCCGAACATTCTACGTAGTGAATAGCCTCTAGGCTAGAAAATGAGTTTTCACAGTACAGGTGGTCCCCCCCCCCCAATCCTTTGTGAGCACATGCAACATTGAATGGGCTCTGCACTATAGAACACAGAATCACACATTCTGGGCACATGCTCCATTTTTTCAAAGCACGTTTTTAGCCCTTATTGCTGAACATGAATGGGAAATGTTTGGTGAATGTTCAGGACCTGGATGGGAAAGAGGAGGGAGAAATTTTGATTATTCAGTGCTCTGTCAAGTTTTTTGCTGCTCCCCATTACTTGCAGAAGCAAAGCAAATTCAGTGAAATAAGTTTCTGCTTCTTTGCCATCCAAAATCTGGGTTATATAATATTGCAAAAAAAAAGTTTTTTGTTTTTTTTTAAAAGGAAATTCAGTGAAAAGTGTACATAGTTTGGACCCAAGACTGATTTGTAACTGTTACCTTTCTTATATCACAAGATGCTAAAACTTGTATAGCTTTTATGCTGGTATTATTATTATTATTTACCACCCTTTATCTGAAAATCCCAGGGCGGTGTGCAACATAAAAAGCACAACTTTCCGTTTTGCAGCCAAATTAACATTATTGCAATTTCTCTCCCTTGTAACAGGAAGAGGAGGATGAAGATCAGCCCCTCAGCCTGGCCTGGCCCGACACGCCCCGCAAACAACTCACCTATCTGGCTATTCTCCCCATCGTTTTCCCATTATGGGCTACCCTGCCTGACGTCAGAAACCCTGTAAGCAGTGCAATGATTATTCCCTTCTTGTATAGGATTTGAAATATTGGGTATTGTCAGGGAACTGCCATCAGCTCAGAGGCGAGAGGGGGAAGGGCAGCTGGATTGCGGAGAGCCTCCAAAGATCGTGGGAAGCAGCACCTCCTCAGCGGAGGAAGGAAGCCCCGCCTCTAGTGGGGAAGAGCTGCAGGGCTCGGAGGATGCAAGGCAGTGCCAGGACACCTTGCCTGAGCGAAGCAGGGAGGAGGGAGGTCCTCTTTTACCCAAGCCTTCCCTGCGCAGTAGGCTTTCGCGCAGAGAGGGGAGGCGTCGGCTGGGGGTCAAGAGACTACTCTGCTGGGGAAAGTTTAAGGACCGCCCACTCTCAGATTCTGCTAGTGAGTGAGCAAGACATGGAATAGAGGCGTTCTGCATTGCAAATGTTTTGCTCCAATAATAAAGCCTTTGAAAAGACCAGTGAGGGACCTTGCCTGATCGCTCTTGAGCAACCACACCAATAGACATAACAGGTATCTTAAGTAGCAGATCTTCTCAAGAAGTGTACGGTTGTTAGGGATCTGTAACTAAGTTCATGATCCCTTTGCCTCCGTTAAATTTCCTGGTGGAGAAAATACCCGGCAAGAGTTGCTGCGGGAAATGACATTTGGTTTGAGCCGTTCTTAACCTGGCAGACAATAGCTGTGAATATATTGCCATTTACCTATGTAAATATTTAATGGCAACCTATAAAATACGGCATGAATAGTCCTTTCATGTTGATCCCTGTGGCTGTTTCTTTAGATGTCTATTATCAGTACATATGCATAAGAAATAGTCCCCCTTGGATTCTGCAGGCGCCCAACAGTTTGTGTATCCTTCAGTCCCCTCTTCTGCAGAAGTTTCTGCATTCATTTGGATAAAGTATTTTCCATAATAGAATCAAGGGAGCACACCAGTTCTTTCCTGGAAAGAAATTCCGTTTTTTGTTTTTTGTTTTTAATTTCAGTGGAGCTTCCTTCCATGCAAATATAAAAAGCTTCACAGCCTAAGATTGTGCATGTTTCGTTTCTCACCTTTAGAGCCAAGCAGCCTGCCCCTCCCAAGTGAAGTTGTAGCCCCTCCATTTACTATTTTGTATTTTCTTCAGTGGGACGCGGGTGGCGCTGTGGTTCGAATCCCCGCAACGGGGTGAGCTCCCGTTTCTCGGTCTCTGCTCCTGCCAACCTTGCAGTTCAAAAGCACATCAAAGTGCAAGTAGATAAATAGGTACCACTCCGGCGGGAAGGTAAACGGTGTTTCCATGTGCCACTCTGGTTCGCCAGAAGCGGCTTAGTCATGCTGACCACATGACCCGGAAGCTGTACGCCGGCTCCTTCAACCAATAAAGCGGGATGAGCACCGCAACCCCAGAGTCGGTCATGACTGCACCTAATGGTCAGGGATCCCTTTACCTTTAGGTTTTAACACCTTTGTAGCATGCGCAAATGAGCAACAAGGCAACTGGTTGCACCATCATACAGCGTAGACCAGGCATGTCCAAAGTCCATTTTGGAGGCCTAATCCAGCCTGCCGGTCGGTTTAATCTGGCCCCTGTGGTAGTTTATTTCCTGAGGTAAAATCCTAAAAAAAACAAAAGCTCAACGACTTTGAGGGGAAATCATAAAAAAGCTCAACAACTTCAGTCCTTAAAAAAAGCCACGGTCTGTCATTTCATCAAATCTGGCCCTCTGTGAAAAAAGTTTGGACACAACTGTAGACAGATTAAACACTTAAAGAGAAATTCTCTTGGAAAGTCAGGGCCAGTGCAAACCACCTGGGGTTGAGGAACGTACTAACTCTGATTCAAATGATGTCCCTTTCCACCTTTTGTTGTTGTTGTTGTTGTTCTCAAAACCTATTTGGGCACGTTTTCCAAATAAATCTTAATTAATTCACGTATTTCTAGCAATGGATTCGTGCTGCTCATAGGAATATGCTTTAAGGAACAACTCGTTTGTTTTATCAAAAGTTATTCGGTAGTAATAATGACTGTCACCCAGTTAAAGAAATCTTAGTCCATTATGGATTGGCTTTAATCAAACTGGTAATTCATTCTTCATGCTTTGGGGGACGTGGGTGTATTTTCACAAGTGATACCATTGTAGGAGAGGCATTACCTCCCGTGAAGAATAAATGTATCTTCTTTGATGGTGCCTATCATCTGTAGCTGCGCTGTATTCAAAAGCTCGCTAGGCAGCACATTTTAATAATGTTAATTATTTTTCTGCACGTACTTACACAAAAGCACTTAGAGTTAAAATAATTAACATTATTAAAATGTGCTGCCTGATTATTTGGGGAGCTTTTGAATTGATTAACCTAATGTTTAAAGGTTGTCGCTCTAGTTTTAATGTATTGCACTTCATAATTTAAGAGCTGAAATGTGCATCAAGGAAATCTAAATTGCTCAGATGAAGCACTGCATATCAGCTGCACTGAGCCAGCTAATCTTCCTTCAAGTTGCTGAATCCAATTGGTGTTGTCAGGGTGGAAATTGGATATTTGCTTTATAAAAAAATACTTGTCAGCATGTCCTATTGCCATGACGGCAGGAAAGATGGCTAGTAATAAAGAAGTTGCTAGGTTCTTTCCAATACGCATTACAAAAAAAGTCATGCATTTCTTCTGGAAGGAAATGTTCAGACGGGAAATAGCCGATGGATTGTTGTTGTTTAGTCGTTTAGTCATGTCCGACTCTTCGTGACCCCATGGACCAGATCACGCCAGGCACTCCTGTCTTCCACTGCCTCCCGCAGTTTGGTCAAACTCATGCTGGTAGCTTTGAGAACACTATCCAACCATCTCATCCTCTGTTGTCCCCTTCTCCTTGTGCCCTCCATCTTTCCCAACATCAGGGTCTTTTCCAGGGAGTCTTCTCTTCTCATGAGGTAGCCAAAGTACTGGAGTCTCAGCTTCAGGATCTGTCCTTCCAGTGAGCACTCAGGGCTGAGTTCCTCCAGAATGGAGAGGTTTGATCTTCTTGCAGTCCATGGGACTCTCATGAGTCTCCTCCAGCACCATAATTCAAAAGCATCAATTCTTCAGCGATCAGCCTTCTTTATGGTCCAGCTCTCACTTCCATACATCACTACTGGGAAATAGCCGATGGATAGTTTCAACTAATCCTTTCAGAACCCTTTTGCCATGCCCTCTCTCACCTTAGAGATGCAAAGATCTTGTGGAAATGTGCTTCCAAGACACAGGGGCATTTCAAAACTAGAGGAGGGGGGTAACAACATTCAGCAAATTGCAAGGGCCGGCTCCTGGATGCATTAAGGATTAAATTGTGAAAAGGTTTATTACAGGAGCATTTCTTCTGATTATTTCTGTTTGCCTTGAGGGATTAAGTCAGAAGGATAAAAATGTGGTTGGGGTGGATTGGCCATGCACATAGAAGCAAAACAGATTATACATCTGGGTAAATTTCAGTAGAATGCCTCATTTTGTGGACTTTGGACTAAACTAGTAGCACCTCTACTTACTGTTCCCATTCTTTCTGTTTTTCAGAGCTCAAAGAAGTTTTTCCCCTTAACGTTTTTCGGATCGATCTCTTGGATAGCAGTATTTTCTTACCTAATGGTCTGGTGGGCACATCAAGTAAGTGAAAGATACGTCTCTGTTTTGTGTGTAACCCTTCCCGTCTGAAAATTTCACTATATCGCAAGCTAACTTAACTTGATACATCTAATGGCTTTTTTTACTCTGCTTCTGTACCTTGACGATACAACTAGTAGAGTGAGATGAAGCTCTGGGTGTAAGGATGGGGGACAGAAGCTGTTTTTTATTTAGTACTGTTATTTAAGACCTTCCGGGGCAACTTAAAACAGGAAAGGGATATGGAGCTGAATAACAATACCATAAAATAAGTAAAACAGCCATTTCAGCATAAAAACAGAACAGGGCACTGAAGAAACCCACCCTGGAAAAATAAAAAGGTCTTCAGCTGGTGCTGGAAAGATGCCAGACAAGTGGTGCCACAATCGAAAAGGCCCTGTATCCAATCACGGCCCTCTTCATTTGAAAAAGTGCTATAGATCTGGAGAAGAACCTCTGAGGATAATTTTTATATCCAAAAATATATCTATGGAGTTGGGGAGCTAAAATAGCACAGTGCTCAAAAGCAAAATCAGCAGCAGACCTAACAGCTTGAAGAATGCCAGACCAGCTAAGGGACCAGGTAACAAATGCTGAAAGCCCCTTGAAAGATAATCATCGGTGTTATTAGGTCAATAAGGAAAGCTCTCTTCATAGATCAGTTAAGACTGAATATGGACTCACCAAAGAGCAAAGGGAAGGTCTGCTTGCACATGTAAGCGTTCTTCCTCCTGGGGACGTCAGCCCTGAATTAAGCACACAGAGAGACTAGAGCAGGCATAGGCAAACTCGGCCCTCCAGATGTTTTGGGACTACAACTCCCATCATCCCTAGCTAACAGGACCAGTGGTCAAGGATGATGGGAACTGTAGTCCCAAAACATCTGGAGGGCCAAGTTTGCCTATGCCTGGGCTAGAGTATACTTCTCTACTCTGCTAAGTAAAGTATGTTTCGCAAAGAAGTGTTTCTCGCTTCCACGATTTCAGCTTATTATTTTGTGTTTAGGTGGGAGAAACCATTGGCATCAGCGAAGAAATCATGGGTCTGACGATTTTAGCTGCTGGCACATCGATCCCTGACCTAATTACCAGTGTTATTGTGGCACGTAAAGGCCTGGGGGACATGGCGGTGTCCAGCTCTGTCGGAAGTAACATCTTTGACATCACTGTGGGGTAAGTACTGTTTTTCTTTTTTTTTAAAGCGGCAACACTCAATTTTAACTTAAGCCACAGATTAAAACTTTACACTACAGTTATTAGTTGCAGTTCTTGCTTGCTACTTTGGGGAAAAGATGTAAATTAGAAATACGAAACCTCAAGGGGAAAGTAGTTCACAGCCTGTGAAAGCTGCTCAAAGTTACTTCTCTTCATGGATTTGTTTATCATTTTTACCACTTAACATACTAAAAATTTCTTAAGAGGTTTACATAGGGGTGGTATTCATACATAAGGTAACGGGGTGGTATTCAAACTAAGTCTAAAGCAGACCCATTGAAAACAGTGAACCTGACTTTGTTAGGCACATTCATTTGAAAGGGTCTACTCTGAGTAAATTGAACACCAGCTAATAAAATGCTCTAAAATCTGGATTAAAAACAAGTTAAAATAAGACACAACTGCGTATCACAAATAAAACTGAGTGGTTTATATTAACGACCCAGCCATGCATAAAGGCATGTTAAATGTGACATTCTTACACCAGTTGGTGTTGGCTTTATCATATAGCTTTCACTGCCACCGTGTTGATGGTGTGACAGAATGCACTTTTGCTGCCTTTGACCACTGTCCGGAGAATGGTGTGATGCTCAAGGTGACAAGAGTTGGTTCTCCTTTCAGTGGACCTCAGCCAGCAACCTCCTCGTCATCTTCTGGCGCAGAAAACACTTCGCCCCATCTAATGCACTTGTTGTTGTTGTTTAGTCATTTAGTCGTGTCCAACTCTTCGTGACCCCATGGACCAGAGCATGCCAGGCACTCCTGTCTTCCACTGCCTCCTGCAGTTTGGTCAAACTCATGCTGGTAGCTTCAAGAACACTGGCCAACCATCTCATCCTCTGTCGCCCCCTTCTCCTTGTGCCCTCCATCTTTCCCAGCATCAGGGTCTTTTCCAGGGAGTCTTCTCTTCTCATGAGGTGGCCAAAGTCTTGGAGTCTCAATTTCAGGATCTGTCCTTCCAGTGAGCACTCAGGGCTGATTTCCTTCAGAATGGAGAGGTTTGATCTTCTTGCAGTCCATGGGACTCTCAAGAGTTTCCTCCAGATTCTAATGCACTACCATTCTCCAAAGAAATGTTTCCGTGCTCCCTACTGATAGCCTTTCCAATGTCGCTTGTGAGCTAAATCACACTGTCTTCCAGTTGCTAGCAAAGCCTTTGCAAAAGCGTTTCCAATATTGTCTGCCTCTCTCTTTGCCCAACAGCCTTCCTCTGCCATGGCTCCTCTACGCTGTGATCAACAATTTCGTCCCCGTGGCCGTGAGCAGCAATGGGCTCTTCTGCGCAATAGTCCTCCTTTTCATCATGCTGCTCTTCGTCATCCTATCCATTGCGGCTTGCAAGTGGAGGATGAACAAATTCCTGGGCTTCACCATGTTTGGGCTTTACTTTGTGTTCCTGATCGTCAGCGTCCTTCTAGAAGACAGGATCATCGTGTGCCCTGTGTCTATTTGACAAGGAAGGAGGTGCCGCTTTCTTGAACAACATCCCCCCCATACACACACAAATTGCAAAAGCAAATGCCCAAACCAGAACCAGACAAGAACAAAGAAACAGTCTTGCAAGACAAGATAAGCAACGTCTTTGGAACCCTCTAATTTAAAACAGTGGGGAGAGGGAGAGCTGAAGTCATGAAGCGAGGCGTGGAGTAGTTCAGCTCATACAATTGCTGCCGCTGAACCGTGTTGTGGCTGCTTCAGAAACATGGTCTTGGAGAAGTCCCACTGCTTATCTGTTGGAGGTATTGTGCATGTATTTTATAACAATGTTAAGCTATTACGTATGCTACACCTAGGATCTGCTCCCATGCATCTTTCTCTCTCTACCTATATATTAACAAATACATGCCACACAGAGAGAGAGAGAGAGCGCAATATCTTATAAACATACAGGAAAATGCCGATATCCATCTTTGGGGAGATGCAATTCTCCTGTTTGGGATTTTATCTGTTCGTGTAATGTAACAGAAAGAGTTATCAGTACCCAGTGCTGTCAGCATGAAGCGAACGACAGACAATAGACGATTCTCCATGGATCGTGTGCTGTTCCGGTGCAGCTAGCACGTGACGTGGACACGGAGGCTCTGCAGGTTTGAGAAGCGTGCAGATGTTTAGAGCAGATCAGTAGACGTTGGGTTGATCCACACACACCCAGACTGTGAGAAATCAATAACCTTTATATGAGGCCAGTCAAGTTAAACAACAACAAAAAAGTTCGGATACTAGCATCTCCTGTATGTTCCTGCTTATCACAGCATTACTCCAGCAGCAAGCAACTATTATGTACACGTGTGAAAGAAGCACCACAGGTCGCATATCACAGAGGTTGTGCAATGCCTCTTATATAATACTTTACCAGTGGCGGAAGTTTGCATACTTAGGTGTGCAGCATCGGGGTCAAGCGATGTGCATGCATGTGAGAACCAGCCTTTAATCCCCCAAAAAGATGCACCCTGGCTTGCTCTGGCTTCCTTAGAAGGATCTCTGCATTTTTGCTATTGTTCTTCATCTATCTATCTATATATATATATTAGCAGGACATCTTTGAGGTACTCACAGGTAAAACCCACACTTGAAGTGTGGACTCCCATTCGCCCACAGCATTTACATAAAAATGTACCGCTACTAAGTAAATATACTCATTTTGGTAGTGCAGCAATACTGTAAGGATACAAAGTCATTTTAAATGCTGTTTCCATTAGTGCATTTGCCTTGTCACATGAAAGATGCTAGTGTGGCTTCCGTGTAGCTTTTTAAAATAGAATTTCAAAACTGCTCTATGATGGGGACAAGAACAGAAACGGATAAATCCCATAGGTTATTTCCTTTTGTTACCTGCACTGCTGTGCACACTTCCATGTTCCTTTTCTGCTAAAACTTTGGGGATGTTTGAGAAGGTAAATCATTTCTAGGGATGTGGAACTAAGCGGCTTGAAGCCGTTTTCTGAAGTTGCTGAGAAATGTGAAAATCTAATTGGGACAGTGAACAATTAAAGTTTCATCCATCTCCTGTAGAAGCCCCAGGAAGAGGGACAGTAGCAGAGGAGAAGCAAAAGAGGTTTCATATTTACTAAGACTCAGCATTAAATAGAACAGCTGTAAAAAAACTTTTTTTAAAAAAACCAGCCCTTCCTTCTACAATAATCAGCACTTATCTGTGAAGCATCTTCTACCTTGTTAAAACTCATGCCGTCTCAGTTCCGTGAGTGATTCATTACCAGTGTTCTTGATATCCTAGGTCACCCATGCACCATGGAAACATGATACTTAAGACCATATAACTGAGGACTCAGCAGATGTTGATGCTGAGCTTTCCTGTTCGTCTCACGCTTCCGCTTTCCTTTGTACTCTGTGTATTCATGCATCTGTACGTAGCTATATTCATGCATAGCTATATCCAGGTAAATCACAGAACTCACAGAAAACAAGCCTAGATATTAGCCTAGGCATATTAAAACAAAAGTGGTGGAAAGCGAGATAACACGTGAAAGCAAGAAAATTAGCCGCCCCCCACCAAATACTAGCAGCATAACTGCTGTTCCTTTCTTGTTTCTAAGCTGCTACAGCATCTTCCTGGGAAAACCTTTGTTTGTTGTTGTTTCCTGGAACATCCCTGGTGCCCTTTTGAGGCCCTGTTTGTTCATTGTGCCCTTTGGGGTTGCATACAGGGCTGGGCTTGATACTGACACACATACCACTATGTTGTAAATTCTATGCATGTTCCTTGAGGTTTACTCCAGCTTCTAGAATCTAGCAGGGCTTTCTGCCATCTCACAGGATTGCAGCCAAAGTTAATATCCGTACGTTGTGTTGGCAGTGAGTAAGATGATCCTCAGATCCTTGAGTCCCGAGTCATTTAGAGCCTTTTATGCTAACAGCAAGTCCATAAGCTGGGTCTGTGGAAAAGCTGGTTGCAGTTCTTAAGCTGAACAATCCTTTGCATGATTAGCTGAGAAGAACTGCTTTTTCTCTTCTTTTGCAGTTCAGTAGCTTCACTTCTAAAGGTAATGATGAGGATGGCATGTACTAACTTGCTTGAGTTGGGTGGGCTGGCAAAACATCATAGATCATTTTTATCCAATAGCTGCTTGTAGCCTTTACTTGCAGATTCACACCTGCAATAATGACATTGGGGGGGGGGGAGAGAATATGCATTTTGGGGTAGGAAGAAGCTGTACGGCACTTCATCTCTCAGGAATCAAAATCCACATTAAAATTGGAGCAGCTTCAGATGCAGGATTATGATTAAGGGTTTGGAATGCATGTCATAGGAAGAAAGGCCGCTGACTCAGAAGTAGGCTAGCTTTTCAAAAACACCATTTGGGGAGACAACTGTGCAGGAAGCTGTGGGGTGGGTGGTTCTGCAGAACAACACAGTGACATTTGGAGAGGGACAGAGAACCTTAGGAACAAACAGTTCCAACAAATGGCTGGAGCCTCCGTTTGGCAGAGATGCTCCTCGCAGAGTTCTGTGCTTTCCAGCGCTCGGTTTCCATGGCTTCAGCATTCCTAGTTGTTTGGAAAGTTAAAAGTGCAATATTAGGTTATTAGAACCTTGTAGCACAAATCATTGGCAGGTTACTTAACATCAGCACATGAAATGCAGCCACACATGTTTATTTGTGCCCCGATTACCCCCATAACTATGTATTTACAAGACACAATGGGAAGAATAACCCCATCAGGGCCTAGACCACTGAAAGTGTAGACAATCTCAGTAACCAGAATGGAGGCTTAGTTTCCAACAGTAGGGCATATGACTTCTCTTCTCTTAGTAACTCTTTGACCCTTCTCAGGAAAAAAAAGAGAGGCAAATTAACATAATTAATTCCAGTTGCAGAATTCAGCTTTTCTTGGCGCAGGACTTGAATTCCTTGGGTGCTTAATTAAAATTTGTTTTTAGTGCAGAATACACAACAGCCCTGATGCTATCTAATTCTGTGTAGTTATGAAACATCAGGCTGACTTCAGTTAACCCAGGACTTTGCCCAATACTTTCTTGGACATTTTAATATCAGTGAGATGACTGTATGCTTTTCAAAACTCCGTAGTCAGGTATGCCTGAGATCCTTTATAGATTACAGAAAGTAGTACTTCTCATAGATTAGGCTTGGTTGAACTTCACATCGCCATTGTAAAGGGCTGCAGTTCCTGCTTTGAGAAGCACCAGTGAGATTTAAGTGGTGCATTGCTCTTGATAGCTTTCTCTGCAAATTTCTGGTCCTTCTGCAGTTAAAAATAAAATGTCCCCTGAGTGCTTCAGCTCCTGCTAGTTTAAACTAGTACCGACATTCCCATCAGAGCTGTAATACAAGTGAGGTTTTCCTTGCATGCAGACGGAAAAGCTTCTCTAGTGACGGTCACTTGAATGGATGTAGATGGCGATTTTGAATTAAGTTCGAAATGGTTAGGTGTTAGACGTTAAGTGCAGATTTCTCATGTACAGAAACACATTCAGCTTGCATGTAAAGCCCGTGAACCCCAATGGAACTTGCACCCAAACATGCTTCAGGTGCATTTAAACACAAACACTTGGGCTGCAATCCTGTATCCACTTACCTGGAAGTGAGACCCGTGAGCCAGACTTGACTAAAAACTTGCAGTAGCGGTGCTGGCACAGTTGTGGTTCCCTCTTCTCCCTCTGTGTGCATCTGCCACTGCCGCCACCCTGCAAACATCTGTGAAGTTTGGGAGAGCACAGCTGGCAAGAGGAAACCTTGTGCAGACCAGGCGACCGTAACAGTGCAACGTTGCATTTGGTGTGACTGAATAGACCGGTACAAGGTTGCACTGTTAGATGCAAACACTAAGTAACAAGTAGATAAATAGGCTCCGCTGTGGCGGGAAGGTAAACTGTGTTTCCGTGCGCTCTGGTTTCCGTCACGGTGTTCCGTTGTGCCAGAAGCAGTTTAGTCCTGCTGACCACATGACCCGGAAAGCAGTCTGTGAACAAACGCCGGCTCCGTCGGCCTGAAAGCGAGATGAGCGCTGCAACCCGATAGTCACCTTTGACTGGATCCAGCTATCCAGGGATCCTTTACCTTTACCTTTTACCTTTAGGGTTGCACTGTTAGATGCAAAAACTAAGTAACAGGAATGGGTGTCCGTAGGCTTATGTGGTTAACACCTTTGCAACCTGCCCTGCTGCCTCAACAAGGCATTCCAAGCTGCAGGCAGCGCTGAAACTCTGCAATATTTCTTAGCTATCCTCAAAAAGCCAGATAAGAAGCAGAACAAAGCAGCAGAACAAACCATTGTCAGACAGGAGCTTGCAGCGTCCCAAATCAACTGAAGGGCAACATGCACCAAACTATCCCACGAATGCCAATTAAGAATCTATGCACAGTATAGAAAAACCGACACCCTGTTATATAAATATAAATCGATCCAATTTTTTGTGTGAGAAGTGATGGGGAAAGAGTATCAAACTGAAAATAAAGTAACTGATCCCTGATGGAGATGGAATGCGTTCCATCTTTCAGGTGTACAGGGAATTCAACACGGTTGCCTGTGATGGCTTTCCCCCAATTAAATTCTTAAGGGGGTGCTGTAAGCGCTCCCTCTTTCCACCTTGTGCTCCCCCTCCCCTTTGGAGACCTCAGCAATAACAAAATGTGAAGCTTTGCTTTGTTTCAGTCTGCCATAGACCCCTGAATTACCAGGGACGGGGGTGGCGCTGTGGTCTAAACCACTGGGCCTCTTGGGCTTGCTGATCCGAGGGTCAGCAGTTCAAATCTGCACAACGGGGTGAGCTCCCGTTGCTCTGTCCCAGCTCCTGCCAACCTAGCAGTTCGAAAGCACACCAGTGCAAGTAGATAAATAGGTACCACTGTGGCGGGAAGGTAAATTGTGTTTCCGTGCGCTCTGGTTTCCGTCACAGTGTCCTGTTGCACCAGAAGTGGTTTAGTCTTGCTGGCTACGTGACCCCGAAAGCTGTCTGGGGACAAACGCTGGCTCCCTTGGCCTGAAAGCAAGAAAGATGAGCGCCACAACCCCATAGTCGCCTTTGACTGGACTTAACAGTCCAGGGGTCTACCTTAGACCCCTGAAGAATCACGTCATTCTGATTTGAAAAAGCGAGTTGCTAACAGTACTGCAGAGGACCTCTGAAGGCTGCTGGTGTTCTGTAGATAGTGGCACTCAATGCGAATTGCATTTCTTTTTTAACAGGGAACATTGCCCACCAACCTAGGCAGCCTGCCTTACACAGTGTTAGACCATTGGTCCATTTAATTCAGTATTGTCTCTACTAGCTGGTTGCACCTTCTTCGAGTTTCTTCCCTAATCCTAACGAGATCCCAGGGATTGAACCTTCAACTTTATTCATACAAAGCAGATGTTCCGTGCAGTCCTTCTCCAGTGTAATTCCAAAAATTTGATTCTCCAAGGTCAGATTACCACCTTGATAGCAACTTTTTTTGTTTTTAAGTTGATTTCAGAAATTAATATTGCAAAAGCCTCCAACGTCACATTTAGTCATTGCGGGAATGACCTGGAAAGCCGTACCTGTGTCGTTCCACTACTGCAGTTTGCAAATTACTTTCTCCAGAATAGATCTACATACGTCAGTAGAACTACTTCTGAATAAGTATCCTGTAAATTGCAGTTCAGTAACAAATTTGCACTTTCTCAAGATCAGCCATTGATTGTGAAAACATTGATAAAGCGTTATGAATGACAATCATATATTATTTTTTTAATAGAGTATTTTTTAAAAACCTCAAGCAAACAAACCCACGTTTCCTTTGTTACTTAGGGGGGAGAGTATTGATTTCAAGCTGCTAATTATTTACTTATTTTAAAGAATTGTGTTTTGTTTTTTTAAAAAAAGAAATTAATATATGCAGGCCCAAAATAATAATTTATTTTTATGTGAATTTATTTATTGCTATTCCTCGAATGAAAATGGGACAAATGAATCAGTGTTTTCTCTGTGAATAAAAAATTTGTACATAGTGTGAAAGCTCTTATTTGTACATAAGTGTTGCAGAAATATTCTTCTGAATGTATTTCTTCACTATAAGTACTGAATTTTAATTATTGTGACTCGTGTACACTTTTCCACAGCTACTCTGTGTTCCTGTAACTCCTCATAAGGCACCTTGTGTAACTTAAAAATCATATAAGTGTGGAAATAAATGAACAAATTTAAAAAGTGAGTGACCTAAACGAGGCTGTGTTTTCTTTTTCTCCTTCAACTCTGCCTCCCAAAGAACCCTGGGAACCATAGTGTGTCCCGTACAAAGCTATAGTTCCCAGCAAGCCTAACAAACCTTGGGCTTCTTCGGGCAGGGGAGTAATGTGTCTTCTTAAATATATAAACTTTATTTATAACTCTTTGCTGGAGGGAGTTTGGCACAAGGTTCCTGTTCTGGGTTCTGCCCCTGTACCGTTCATGACACAGCTCTCCCCCCCCCCCAAGATAGTTGTCATCGCACCAAACACCTCACCAAGATTTAAATTGGTACGTTTCCAATTATCGCTGTAGCAACTTCGGACCTAGATATTTTTAGATTAAATCTGCTTAGCAGCAAAGAAGTAATATGGTAGTCTCTCAGCAGGATGCTTTTCTGTTTTCTGAATCTAGTGGTCCCTCGAAAGTCCAGCAATGGTGCACATCTAGGTAGGCAAGGGGGTCTGGGTGCTCAAAGAGCTTGGCTTTCCCGCACTGCCCACTTCCTGCTGATGGCTTCAGCTAGTCAACAGTCAAATTACCTATCAAAATAGCTTATTAAGTGCAAGGCTGCTCTGGCACCCTTAAGCTTCTCTCGCGACTTGCAGCCTGCCCCACAAGGCTTCCTGCTAGAGGCTTTTCCTGGAAGCCTTAATGGAGGACAGGGGGCAGGTAGCAGACAGAAGACAGAGCGTCTCAGCGAAGGAAATTTAGCCCCTCGAAAAAGCAGCCCTATCTCACCCAGATTAGCATTGGCAGGTGCCAGGATGAGTGCGCCGGACTCATGTGGGACTGTGCCAACACCTCTGTGTTTAGCAACAGGTGTGCTTATGGCGATCACACAGGGTCCCCAGACGTTTCACCATCTATTGATCCCTGTGCCACCACTTGATTTCTCGCTCCCACCACCCAGGCCCTACCTGGTACAATACTGAGTCCAGTCAGGGTTAAATTGGAACATAAACTTCTGTTTATTTATTGCAGTTTAACAAGCGTGTGGTTTCATAAACGGTATCGGTCAATTACAATCCTGGGATGCCTATCCAGACCTATAACTTCCACTACCTGATCTCACTCACTAAACCACCTCTCAGATATTTACTTGTCTTCCTAGCTCCTAACTGTTCCTGACTCAACTTATTTCGCTACACTAACTCAACCTACCCACAGACTCTATCCCAATTCACTCCCACTCCAACCAACCACCCAACTCCCAACGAACTCCCCTTTCGCCCCTCCCAGAGCTGGTTTTATAGTCCCTCTGACTCCACCCCCGGGTTCTGATTGGGTAACTTGTTTAACTAATTCACCTCCAGCACTCTCATATGTTAACGTCACAGTGCTCAAGAGCACATGCAGGAAATCTGGTGATTTAAAGTCGGCAGTGTGACATGATGGCAACTCATAGCAGGAATTGAAGCATTTCGCAAGAGGTTGTAAGGGGGGGGAAGTAGTTCTGGGGGGAGGCATTGACTAAGGAAGAGGGCTACAGCTCATTATTGTTAAGACTTGTACAGCACGGGGTTAATTAGCTCCTTTGCCAATTTCAGTCTCGTGCCTGCATCAGTTACTGTACAAAAATTGACGTGCAATTATTACAAAGACAAGGGTTTGTTTTTTAAAAAAAGAGCTGAGCTAAGAGATGATAGTGTTGTTTCCAGCTTCTTAACAATTTCAGCAAATGTGTTTTGTCAATTTTTACATGTTCGATAGTACATTCCCTGGCAAACTCTACTGTCGTGTTCCTTAGCACCCGTTCTTGCAGCTACAAGTGTTAAAAACAAACAAAAATATGTATATGGTGGGTCCTAAAAATAAAGTGTCAAAAACCAAGGTAAAAAGGTACATATTCAGCAAACATATTGTCCATTCAAGGCCTGTGATATGAGGAGAGTATTTGAGGGGGCCCGATGAGAGCATGTGAATCAACCCAGGCAGGAAGAACTTTCCTCTCTTTGCAATCAGTTGTTCCAAACACTTGAATCAACTCACTGGTGGGACACACAGACTATGCACAGAGTCATAAGCCTTAACCATATATAGAGAATTCTAGAACTGTAGAGTTGGAAGGGACTATGAGGAATTTTTTTGCCCCATGTGGGACTCAAACCCACAACCCTGAGATTAAGAGCCTCATGCTCTGCCCGCTGAGCTATCCTACCAGAATATGCGCCAACAGTGTTAGAAAGAAAGAAAGAAAGAAAGAAAGAAAGAAAGAAAGAAAGAAAAAGCAAGCAAGCATTGGGGGAATGAGATGGTGGTGTGCCAAGATTTGGGGGTCGGGGGGAATACATAGCACAGGACCTAGTCTCGTTTGAAGCTTGGCGTTTAAATAAAATAGATAAAGCAATTCGGTTGCTATGCACCCAAGTAGCAAATAAGGCATTCATCATTTAAGTGGGACTAAAGAAGGAAATGATTGATGGGTTCAGGCAAGTAGGAAAATAAGTGAGCAAATTATGTAAGAGATTACACACAGAAGTAGCAGTGCCATTCTATGTACGTCTACTCTGAAGCAAGTCACGCGGGGGTCATTTTGACTTACTCCCACACAACATAGGCTCTATGGACTTAAATGGCTAATGGACAGACAGGAACGGCAATCCCCTGGGAGCAGATCTCACTGAACACAGCTGGACTTGCTTCTGAGTAGACATACCTAATATTTCACTGTAAAGGCTTTACTGTCGCAACGAACTTTAGCATCCACTTGCGTAATTTACAGAAGTGTCTCCTTGGTGCAAAACGGACCAGAAATTACTTGGTGCTAAGTCTGTGTAGCGCAATTGCGGGTGGCGCTGTGGGTTAAACCACAGAGCCTAGGACTTGCCGATCAGAAGGTCGGCGGTTCGAATTCCCGTGACGGGGTGAGCTCCCATTGCTCGGTCCCTGCTCCTGCCAACCTAGCAGTTCGAAAGCACATCAAAGTGCAAGTAGATAAATAGGTACCGCTACAGTGGGAAGGTAAACGGCGTTTCCGTGCGCTGCTCTGCTTCGCCAGAAGCGGCTTAGTCATGCTGGCCACATGACCCGGAAGCTGTACGCCGGCTCCCTTGGCCAGTAAAGTGAGATGAGTGCCACACGACTGGACCTAATGGTCAGGGGTCCCTTTACCTTTACCTTTAAGTCTGTAATTGCCAGTTACAAATCACAGCGTCCGACTCTGCTGGTTTTTACATTCTTTGGGCTGCGGACACAGTTTGACGTTCCCCCTTCTGACTGAGCGGCTCTGTGAAGTCTCCCACCACATTGGGCAAATAAGCTTTTTCCATTCTAAAGCTACGGTTTCGTTTGCGAGGAAATCCATCTACACCTGTCAGTCACAATTTAGGAAACAGCACAGCCTGAGATAACAGCACTGAGAACTGGGAGGACTGCAGATGGAGCTGCCCTCTCTGACTGGCTAAGCAAGGTCTGAGGTAAAGCTTGTTTCATTAACTCAGAGCCCTCTTTCTCACGCACAGCCGCCGCGCACAGGGAGAAGCCATGTGCCGTCCACCTTGTGAGCGGCTCTTGCATGGAGCCGGACATCTCTCAGTGGCAGGAACCTGATGCAAGCGTCTTTATATATCCTTAAACCTCTTACCAGTGCACCTTTCTTGGACGAGGGCAGCTCTGCGCAAGGTACAGAATGGGCTGGCGCTTCTGATGAAAGGTAGTGGAAGAGTTATGGACTGCCACAGAACCACTGAAAGCAAGGCAGACAAAAACATACATATACACAGAGAACAAGTCTTCCAGTTCCTTAATTAAGTAATTAATTTATTTTATTTTATTTTATAATATTTATTAAATTTCATCAATAGACATAAGAAAAAAGAAAATATACAACAACACAATTGAAAAGTGAAAAAGAAGAAGAAAAAATAGCAAACAAGATACCTAAACAGAAAAAAAAATCAATTAATTCATTAAAATGCATTTTCATAAACATTTTGGTTGACTTCCTCTAATCTCCTCCATCTGAATTTCCTCTTAATTTGAATGTAGCAGTTTCCAATATCATTATTTCATAAAACAATATTACAGTCATGTTCCAATTTATTTACCTTTCTTATAATACATTTTCTTATTTATATATTTAAATCTAATTTAATCCTAGGCCTGATTGGTTCTTTCAAGTGATTACATATCTTTAATATTAGAATATTTGTTCAAATAGTCTTTAAATTTCTTCCAGTCTTCTTGGTATTCCTCTTCTTTCTGGTCGCGGATTCTCCCGGTGAGATCAGCCAGCTCCATAAATTCCATCATCTTCATCTGCCATTCTTCTACCGTTGGTAATTCTTGTGTTTCCCATTTTCTGGCTATTAAAATCCTAGCAGCAATTAAGTAATTAATTTAATGCAGGGCTGCAATATTTAAGCGGCAGTTACAATGCTTAGTTGAAGAATCAGATTTTTTATTATTATTTTTAAGTGTCCCTAATTAATTGGGCAATGGACCTTTAAAACACTGGTCTTTTTTTTTATCACAAGCACTTGCAAGAGGTGCCCCAATGTTTTTTGGCGCAGGGGAACCTTTAAAACGTCAAAGAAACTGTCGTGGGTAGTTTCACAGGAGGAAAAATTGGCAGTGCTCAGTCAGGACCACTGCCCCAAACAGGTAAAACACCTAAGCACACCCCAAAACAATAGAAAAGGGCAGGGGTCCCCCAAAGCGGGTAAGCCTTTCAGCAACAAAAAATAAATGAAAAAACAAACCCAAATGGGGAGGGAGCCACGTTGGTCCCAGGTAAATCTACCCTGGTGGTCCTAGATGAGTGGCATAGGTGCAAACTCCTATTGGCTCAGCTGTTTTGCAGCCTCCCCCAAAAATTTTTGGTATGTTGTCATCATCACAGGTAAGGGTGACTAACTTTGGGTTCAATCAAGAGGGCTACATTGGCTCAGGCAAGGGGGGTCCTTCCTTGATTTCTGCCCACTGTGACTTACAGCTGGAACTCCTTACAGCCTCAGGATCAGCTGGGGGCAGGTGGGGGGGCAGTAGGTCCAGGAAAGTCCCATGTCACAGCCATAGAATCATAAGAGCTGGAATTATTATTATTATTATTATTATTATTATTATTAATAATACCCCGCCCATCTGGCTGAGTTTCCTCAGCCACTCTGGGTGGCTTCCAATCGAGTGTTAAAAACAATACAGTGTTAAATATTAAAAACTTCCCTAAACAGGGCTGCCTTCAGATGTCTTCTAAAAGTCAGATAGTTGTTTATTTCCTCGACATTTGATGGGAGGGTGTTCCACAGGGTGGGCGCCACTACTGAGAAGGCCTTCTGTCTGATTCCCTGTAACCTCACTTCTCGCAATGAGGGAACCGCAAGAAGGCCCTCAGAGCTGGACCTCAGTGTCCAGGCTGAGGGACACAGAGCGTCAGAGTGTCATCTTGACCACACACACACACACACTCCTCGCAATGCAAGCATACCTTAATGAATTTCAAGTAACAGAGGCAGATATTTTTAAAAGAAAAATGGTTCCACTGCTTTGCTATGGAGAAACCTCTTTGTGACATGCTGCCAAGTTTCTGCAGAGTTTCTCGCCTGCATTAAGTTCACACTGTTAGGTCAATGCTGCCCCCGTGTGGAACTAGATGCCACAGTGAGAGATTTTTCCCAATTCTCTCCGATAAGAGATACAGCGGTACCTTGGTTCTCAAATGCCTTGGTACTCAAACAACTTGGAACCCAAACACTGCAAACCCGGAAGTGTTCCAGTTTGCGAATGTTTTTCGGAAGCCGAACATGCTCCGTTTTGAGTGCCACACTTCCAATTTGAGTGTTACGCTGAGGTCTGTCTGTATTTGTTATTTATTTATATATTATTATTTTTTGTGACTGTGGAACCCAGTTCAGCTACTGATTGATTGTGCATGGTTTATTGCTTTCATTGTATGGATCAATGGTCTCGTTAGACAATAAAGTTCATGTTAAATTGCTGTTTTAAGGGTTGTTTTTAGAAGTCTGGAAGGGATTAATCCGTTTTGCATTACTTTCTATGCGAAAGCGTGCCTTGGTTTTGGAACGCTTTGGTTTTGGAACGGAATTTCCAGAACGGATTAAGTTTGAGAACCAAGGGACCACTGTACTTCATAAAGGAAATCATATCCTCCAGCATTTCTCCAATGAAAATAAGGATGTGCTAAGTAAGGAAAATCAGAAATTGGAGTGGCTTCTGTAAATTCAGGACTGTCCCTGGAAAATAGGGACACTTTGAGGGTCTGGGAAAGCCAAATAAATTTGTGAAACTGTAATCTCTCCCCCCTCCCATTTTATTCTGTGTGTGTGTGTGTGTGTGTGTGTGTGTGTGTGATGTTTGCCCTGTTATTAATACATTTATACTAGCCAGAATCCAAAGAACACAAGTGCTTCTCATTGCATCCAAAAGGCCTTTAGAGTTGTGATGTTCAAAGAGCAACTTTCCTTACCCTATGACAAAATGGCTTTGGGAACTGAGACGGGTTAACAACCACCACCAGTTGCAATATGGAGGAAAGAGTGTCATGTCACCCGAAGAGGGGGGAAATGCCCAAGCCTTTGAGCTCTTAAGAGCCCACCTGGAGAAAATAAGGCCAAGGTAAAAACAGAGCTGCTCCGTGATCAAAAGATGCTTAATATCTTTTGTGGCACCTGCCCTGTGGAACGCCCTCCCACCAGATGTCAAAGAGAAAAATAACTACCAAACTTTTAGAAGACATCTGAAGGCAGCCCTGTTTAGGGAAGCTTTTAATGTTTAATAGGTTATTGTATTTTAGTGTTTTGTTGGAAGCCGCCCAGAGTGGCTGGGGAAACCCAGCCAGATGGGCGGGGTATAAATAAATTATTATTATTATTGTTATTGTTATTGTTGTTGTTGTTGTTGTTATTCTGTTTGTACATTTCATGCACATTTTAGAATACTACCCATAGAGGATTTGTAAGCTTTGAAAGCAATTCAGAACTTAATACTGTGAAGACTACCCTCCTCCAGTATATTCTGCTTTTCTTCTTTTTTATACACACACACACACACACACACACACACACACACACACACAGACATTGTGCCTGGCCTCAGCTCACCTCAGACTGGCAGACCTCTTCCAGCAGAAGAGTTGTACTGATACAGCAAACCAAAACATACGAATTTTGAGGAACGCTTTGCATTAAATTGGCATGTAG